TTGGTTAGACCATGTCAAAGAAATTATATGCAATGGAAACGAAAGAGTCTATGAGTATATCTTATGTTGGTTTGCAAACATCTTACAACATCCAAGTGCTAAAAATGAAACTGCTCTCATCATAATTGGAAAACAAGGAACAGGTAAGAACACTTTCTTTACAGATATTTTGTGCAAACTGTTAGAGGGCTATTCGAACCCTAATATGACAAACTTAGAAAACATCTGCGGTAAATTTAACTCTTCAATAGAGAATATGAAACTTATAGTATGTAACGAACTTCAAAGTATAGATACAACAAAAGTTTTGAACTCAGATGCTTTGAAGAGTCTTATAACAGACAAAGTTGGAGTTGTTGAAAGAAAGTATAGAGACCAAAGAGTTTGTGAAAATGTTGCAAATTTCATCATGGTTTCAAACAACGCCGTTCCGATGAAGTTAGAAAGTTCTGACAGAAGATATGTAGTTGTCAGAACGTCAGAAGCTCATATGCAAGATACAGAATATTTTGACGACTTAGCAGAAACTTTGACACCTAACTTTTACAACCACTTGTTCTCATATTTCATGACATTAGATATTTCAAAGTTCAATCCAAGACAAATTCCACATACCGAAGAGAGACAAACATTGTTAGAAGCAAACAAGAGTGTATATGAACTGTTCATAGATGAAACTGACTTTGAGTGTTTAGATGAAAGGTCATTGTACGATTCGTATAAACAGTATTGTCAAGAGTATGGTTATATGACAGCGTCTAAACGAACATTCTTGGCAAATGTCAAAAGTCTTTTAGACGTACAGAATGGTGTATATACAAAGAAAAATTTTTCTGAGTAAATTTTAAAAAAAATATTTTTTTTATCCGATAGAAAAGATGACGAAATTCATCTCAGTCAACAAGTACATGTCAGGACTTAAAGAAGAACTAGACCCATTCACATATTTGAATGTTTACTTCTACCATTTTGAAAAGTCTACATTTGACAAAGTTTGGAACATCGAACCAGTTAAGTTTGCTATTGTGACTAAAAATGGTGCGAAATTTGAAGACTTAGACATAGAAGGTTTGTTAACAGTCAAAGAAAGTTTTGACAGAAGGTTCTCAAACCTTAAAGAAGGCAAAGCATACAAACTTGTTATACCTTATGAACCAAAGAAAGCAGACGACTATGAATATTATGAGTCTAAGATAGTTGAAGTTCAAGGTAAATTGGGTAAAAAGATTTTAGAGTCTAAGCCGGTGTTTGCTCCTAAAGAGGAAGAGAACATTGACATTGACCCAGAAATGTTCTAAAAATAAAATTTTATTTTTACATGTCAAATTTCTTTTTCTCTGGAACTGGTTCAGGTTCTTTCTTCTCTTCTTCTACTTTCTTTTCTTTCTTTTCTCTCTTCTTCTTCTCTGGTGGAGTTATGTCAAACTTCTCAGAACCATATTTTTGTAAAAGTGCTTTGTCATTTAATAGCTCTTCTATTCTGTTTTCTATTTCATTTTCAAGAACAGCGCATGTGTCTTCTTTGCATTCTAAGAAGTTTTGTTGGACTTCATCTCTCCAAGAGGCGTCATCTCTGTCAACAAGTCTGTCATTGACAAATTTTAAGACTTCTCTGCTTAAGGTTTTATGGTTCTTGTCATATTCCCAGAAACAGAACTTTAGAACAAATTCACCTTTCTTGTTTACACTATGTAAGATTTTATGGTCGACAGATGTTTTGCTGTCGAAAAGCTTGTCTCGAATATAGATAGCGAAATCGCTAGACATTTCCTAAAAGATAAAAATTTTAATTTTTCTAAAAATATGTTAGAAAAAAAGTTTGCTGACATTGACAAAAATTTGAGAATGTTTTAAATAAGAACAAGAGGAAGTTGGAAAATGCTCAGATAAAACCCATACATGACAAGTTCTTATTTGCTCAGAATGGTATAACAGGTCTAATCGCACCACCTGGGTCGGGTAAGACTTTCACTTATCTTAAAATGGCTGCACAACAACAAGAACTAGATGAGAAGAACCCATTCTATGAGTTAGTTGTTATTTGTAGTACTTCGGGTCAATTTGACCAAACCGTCAATTCGTTCAAAGATATTATAAAAAAGTCTAAGTTAGTATGTATAAAAGACTCTGAGTTGTTAGATTGGATAAAGAAGTACCAAAGAAGAGTTTTGAAGTACAATGCTATAAATGAGTATGTCAATTCTAAGTTTAAAGACCCAAATGAGGAAATGCAGAGAATATTAGAGAAGAAACACTTCCGAAACAAACAGAAAGAGATAGAATACATTTCGAAGAAATTGCAATCTTACGATTGGAAGACTTACCCTCACAGATGTCTTCTTATCTTAGATGACTTTGCTTCTCATCCTTTGTTAAAGAATAGAGAACAAGACATGTGTCGAATTCTTAAGAAGCTCAGACACTTTAACATCTCAGTTGTCATTTGTGTACAGACAGCAAAGAGTTTAAGTAAGGATGTAAAGAGAATACTTACTGATATCATACTTTTCCCCGGATTGTCCGAAGACGATTTCATGGAACTTATGAAAGAGTCCATGGCAGGTAAGTTTGACAGACATGAACTATGGGAGAAGTACAAAGTCATACAAGACCCTCATACTTCTTTCAGAATTCACATCTACGCAAACAAAGTTCAAATTGTAAAAAGTCAAGCGTAAAAATGTAAGTGTTTTAGTCTTCCTCTTTGAAGTTGTCAAAATACTCTGTTATTTTTTCTTTCAGTAGCGGCAAATCTTCTTTGAAGGTAAGTATTGTACAACCTTTCATATCATAGTGTGTTTGAGGTAACGTATCTTGAACTATTTGTTTCACATCTTCATTTGGTGTCATTGAAATCGGTAAGTTTTCGCGATAGAACCAATTTCTGTCAGATTTGTAAATCTTAGCAAGGTCGTAAAAGCTTTTGTTGTTTCTTCTGACTAAATGCAACATAACCATATCTCTGTCTTCTTCATTTTCCATCTCTTCAGTGTAAATCATATACTTATAGTTCTTTTCCTTTCCTTTTGGTACCGAACGTGGTATTCTTTTCTGTATGTTTTTGTCTTTTGCTTCAATGACTTCATCTTTTGCTTCAATGACTTCATCTTTTGCTTGAAGTTTCTTTTCCATCTCTTCACGTTCTTGTCTATGAATTTCGTCAAGAAGTCTGAAAATATACCAAGCGTAACGAGGTGAAGCCCACATTGCAACAGCATTTACAAGAAGTCTATGTACATAATATCCTCTTAAATTTATTGGCAAATTTTTACGATTTTCATGTGTTTTATGCAAGGCCGAGAATTCTCGGTCTAGAGAAATTTCACTCAAAAGTTCTTGTGTGCTTTGGTTTTTGAACCAGTCGTCTGCGTGTTTAGTATCTGGAGCAAAACATGCATTCAAAATACTTTGCATTTGGTACATGTCATCTTTGACCGAACGAATGAGACGGAGTTGTTTGTTATACTGAACCCACTCATATTCTTCACTTATGGCTTCATGAACGATAGCAGTTGTTGTGTTCTCTGTTGTTGACATTTCTGTTCTTATATACAAAATAAAAAATAAAATAAAATAAAAAATAAAATAAAAAATAAAATAAAAAATAAAATAAAAAATAAAAATAGCGTTATTTTCTATCTTGTATAAAAGACCAAAAATAAACGCTTTACATGTATTTTTCAGCAACTTCGTCAAATAATTTTACAGCTTTCTCTATCTCATCTACTTCAAACGTTTCTTTACCTTTCGTGGGAGCACCATACATTTTCTCAAACTTTTCAAGTAGTTCTGTTTCAGCAGCTCTCATATCATTTACAAACACAACCTTAACTCTATTGACTATACTGTCATATCTTTGAGTTATATTATATGTTCTTCCTATCTTATATCTCTTTGTATTGAAGTCCTTCGGTTTCTGAACGATGTAAAGTAAGCCTTCACTGCAACGTTCCGTATCGAATGAACCATATGTTATGAAATTATATCCAACAACTGGGTCAATCCATAACAAAACTAGTGGTATAAGACTTTTGTCTATAAGATATGCTGTAGTTCCATGAAATCTTACCGATATCAAAAGCTCAGGATTTCTTGTCAAAATTTTCTGAGTAGAAGCATTTCTAACCCAGTCCTTTGCTCTCTTTCCAGATGGTGTTAAAATGTCTGACAAAGAATATTTTTTGTATTTCTTTGAGTATCTTACGTTTAAATCACCAATTCTAACTATTTTGGTCTCATTGTCTATCTTTTTGACTGTTTCAAACTCAGTGCTTGTCATTTCCTGTTCTTACATACAAAATAAAAAAAAATATTTTAAAAAAACTAGCGTTAATTTTATTTTTTCTATCTTGTATAAAAGATATGATTTCATAGAGTTTTTTTTACGATTTTCATGAGTTTTAGGCAACCCCTGTAAAAGTCGGGGTAGCATTTTTTTTACGATTTTCATGAGTTTTAGGCGAGTGGTTTTTTTTACTACTCGCAATTTTTCACGATTTTCATGAGTTTTTTCACGATTTTCATGAGTTTTAGGCGAGTAAGATTTTTAACGTACTCGCAATTTTTCACGATTTTCATAGAGTTTTGGCTACCCCTGTAAAAGTCGGGGTCGCTGTTCTTCACGATTTTCATGAGTTTTTTTTACGATTTTCGTACGGAATCTCTAGCCCGGTTTTTCTCGGTCTAGAGAAATTTCACGATTTTCATGAGTTTTTTTCACGATTTTCGTACGGAATCTCTATCCTCGATTTTCCTAGGGTAGCAAACATATGAGGAAATTCATGAAATTTGGTCATTTTTTCAGCAAAAATATATTTTAGATCTAACCAGGTCCCTCGGTCCCTCGGTCCCTCGGTCATTTTAACTTCTCTGAAAAAGTGTGACAACATGACATTTTGACAACAACACAGGAAATATACTTCATCGTAAATGTTTTGTTGAGATTTCTTCGTCAATGAGCGTAAATCAGACAAAAATATATTTTAGGCGGAACCTCTTTTTCACAAGCGTTTTACATGGTATATGTTGTGATGGTTCATGACTTTAAACAGTTTTGTAGCTTCTATTTCTTCACGAAGGATATCAAAAGTTTTAACGATACCGAAAGTTTCTTTGTACTTCTTCTTGACGTCAGATAGAAGGAAATCGTCAGCAGTTGGATAGTTTTTGTTCAGAAATGTCAACATGTCCATTTTATCTTCTGCTGGTTTCTCTGCTTCTTTCTTTAAGTCAGTATAGTCTTTTCGCATACGTTCTATCTCTTTGACGGAGTAGTTATATTTCTTCATTGCTGCTTTACATTTTGAACATTGTGAGTTCATTTTAGCATTATATTCTGAAACCTTACCTGCTAAAACAAGTAAGGCGTAAATGGTTTTCTTTAACTCAAAAGTTGCTGGTTTTATTTGTTCGTTCCATACCTTACCTCTTCTATCTTTATCTCTTATCTGCCATACACATTTTGCAACTAACGAAACAAAGTTGTCGTAGGTCTTAAACTCCCCAGATTTATATATGTCAATGAAATATACCATATCGCAGTCTTTGTGGTTGCAATGAAATCCAAGAAACTCATAGTTTATCTTTCGTATGAACTTCTTGGTTTCTACTGAGTCAGTTGGTTTCACTTCTATTTCATCGAATTCTGGAATAGTAAGCTTTTGTTGTTGTATTTCAGGAAGTTTAGGTAGATGGTCAATAATATCCTGCATTTCATAAAGATACTGTTCATTTGTTTCATCTTTCGCACTACAGTTTAAATCTCCTTGGAGAAGTTCTTGCTTTATCTTCTGGATTTCTGTTTCGAAAGTATATGAAGAAGGAATGAAGCTTTTCATCTCTACTAACATAGATGTTGGGTTCATGACTAACGAGTTTGGTGCTGTTGTTGCTGACATGTTCTTACAATAAAAATAAAAAAATATTTTTTTTAAAAAAAACTAAAATATATTTTTGCCTGATTTACGCTCATATACGATGAAAGTCTTGACAAAACATTGACGATGAAAGTCTTAACAAAACATATACGATGAAAGTCTTGACAAAACATATACGATGAAAGTCTATTTCCTGTGTTGTTGTCAAAATGTCATGTTGTCACACTTTTTCAGAGAAGTTAAAATGACCGAGTGACCGAGTGACCGAGTGACCTGGTTCCACCTAAAAACCATCTACCCTAAAATATATTTTTCAATACTTTTTCAGCACTTTTCCGTAGTTGTATATGAAAGACAATTCGAGATAAAAGTCATAGTACAATGGAATTATATGCTGCACACCGTTTGTTGTGAACCAGACTTGAAAGTCAGAGAAACTGTTACTAGGTGGTTCGTAGAATTTAGAAGCAAAGTCATAAAAGTCCTTACCGATACAAAGAAAACTGTTGTTGCTTGAACTGAAACTTGCATGACATATAACATTTTGAGGGTCAAACACGTTTTTATAAACTGTCAAATCTGCTGGTGGAAGTATAAATTTAAAAGGACCGTCAGGTGGTAAGGGTTCGTTCTGGTTTAGTAACCGAAGAAATTGTGCCCAAGAACGTTTGTCTACTCCCCAATATAAAAACTCTGTATCTCTTGGAGGGTTATTTTCAATCCTTTGAAATGAAACGGTGGAGTTCATCTTGTCGTATTCTAGTTTTAGATAGTATGTTCCATTTAGTAAAGAGTGGTATTTTTCTTGAAATTCCCAGTAGTATTTGTTTATTTGAGTTTGAAAGTCATTTAGAGTTTTTTCAAGACTTTCGTCTGAACGAATAGTAAAGATCTTCATTTCGTCAAATTTTTCTATTAGACCATCAGAACCTTTATACTGGCCATGAAAATATACCGCGAACATAAAAGCGTTAGTTCTATTTGAAAACAAAACTCTTCTAAATCCTATTGCCTTTGCATCTGAAGGACTTTGAAGCCAACGAATTGGATAGTCAAACCTGTAAGATCGGGATGAAATTTCTTCATCTGATATATTCCTACCAGCGTTTGTAAAGATATAGTCTAACGGTTTTGTATCTGCTACTTTTGTTCTTTGTTTTTCAACCTGAAGCATTTAATATATGTAAAAATATACTGTTTTAAAAACGTTTTAAAATGGTATGCAATGTTTTATTTCATGCAATGTTTTATTTCTGTGCCGTTTTCAAGTACGGCCCAGTACTTACGCTTGGAGAGAACATGAACTTCGGAAAATACCTTGTCTAGCTTAAAACAGCCCATTTTCTCACCGACTAAACCCATTTCAATGAGTTTGTTATAGCCTTCTTCGTTCGTCATGAGTGCATCGATGTTCTCATAGTATACCTTCACTTTGGATTTAACCTCTGAGAAAAATTTGTTGTAGTTGTCAAGGACTGCTTTTGCGAACTGAGGGTAGGACCAATGTTCGACAATAGGTTTTACTGTGGTTACTAAGCCATTTTGACCTTCGGTGAACTCGTACTTTAAAACAAAAGTGGAGAACCTTTCAACAAAGTTGTCGACCTTCTCATAGTGTTTACTCTTCATCTTTTGAGGTTTCTTAATGGAATATCCCCATGTCGAATTCATAAGCAATTTGAGTGTCATTGCAAGTTTGGGATTTGAAGCTTTCCTAATATCATACATTTGTTGTATGACTTTTCCAACTGTATAGTTCCTTCCCGGGAACTCACCGTCTTCGTTTGGAATTCCAGTTGGAATATATTGGACGAACCTCATGTACGCAGCGTTAAGGTCGACATAGTATATTTTTTCGTTTGAGTCGAACTTGTCGCATCCAATCGGCCCAGTTCGTGGAAATTCAAGTGAGTCTCTTATCTTTTGAGAAACCTCGCCTGTTATCTCATAAACATCGTCAAAGCAACCTGTTTCATATAAAACCTTCTGAGCTAACTCAGATGCTCTCCAATACAATTTGACGTCGACTGGATGTCTCAATGGAAGTTTGTTTATAGCATCTTGAAGTTCTTGCAACCTCATTGGAAGTTCTTCTGGTTCAGGTTGGTATCCGAACAATCCAACTCCTTTTGGAGCTGTGTACTTCTTCTGTGCTAGAACTTTGTCTGGAACAACTTTTGGTCTTGCTAACAATAAAAAGTTTGTTTCGTCTTTTGGTACAAAAGTTTCTGTCAGCTTGTCATCTGGAATCGGTTCCAACAAACCTTTCTCGAAAAGAATGTTAACAGCTCTGACAATGTTGCATTTACCTTTTCCGAACAATGGGTTTGTAAGACTTTCGTTCAACATGAAGTGGTTGTGGAGAAGTACAATCTTCAACCATGGCAATTTGAAGTCAATAACATAGTCGTCGTGTGAAGAACCTTTCTCAGTCGGAATGTTGACTCGGATATTCACATTTGCCAACGGTGCAATCTTTGACAATTGACTTCTAAGAATGTACCTTGTTTTCACACATGACTCAAGATACTTCATCTTCTCATCTGTAACAAGACCAGAGTTCCTGAGACATGTAAGAATACAAGGTTCATTGACAATTGTTTCAATTGAATTGTAAATTCCATACCTTGTTAAGTCAATGTCAGACTTGTTTATGAACGGGAAATACCCAGCATATTGTCTGACTGCTTGAGGGTTAGGTTGATACCATTCGAACTTCACGCTTGCAATTCCTTCAATCGCATTTAAGATGTCTGAGTCGGAGTCAAACATTTGTTCTCTCTTTGTAGTCTTGAAAGCGTCAAGAAGCATTGCAGCTGTTGTGACATTGCCATGTGAGTAGTATATATGACCATCTAAATCTGTTACGGTTAGTCTGAGATTGTGTCCTTTCTTATTTCCGTCTTGTATGGCAGCAAGTACACCCATGAAGCCTTCTTTGTTCTTTCCATCGTCAAAGTTTACTGTAAAGGTTCGACCAGATGGAATTTGACTTCGAACTTCACAATACTTTTCATATGCATATCTTGTTCTTTCCATGGGAGCATGTGCGTCTTCACCTTTTCCTTTTTTCCTCCTCAAAGGATACAATTGTTCGTTATGTTTCCAGTAGAATCTGGCAAAGCCGTCGTGTCCTTCAACCTGTGGCTCATTAACATTGAAAGCCATGTTCATAAGACGTTCTTCTTCTAACCTCTCAAGTCTGTTTGGATAGTTGGCGCGTGCTGTTTCTAGGTCCATTTCATAGCGAAGATCAGATAGTTTGTCATAGACTTTTATTGGCTTTCCCTTCCTATATTTAAACTTCTTTGAAACTTTCCAGCCATATCTTTCTAACTCTGCTTTTATTCTAGCAGATTTTCTATCCATTCTATACGGGGGCATTTTTATAAAAATAAAAAAATATACTGTTTTAAAATGGTATGCCATATAGCTTCTTGAATTTGTTAAGATATAGTCTAACGTTTTTTCCATCTGTATCTCTAGCGTTTACATAAGCATAGTCTTCCTTAGTAAAACATACTTGTAATTTTCTATAGTTTACGCCGGTATAAAAGTAGAAAGAGTCCTGTTCTTCGCTGTAGTAGTAAAACTCAAACGTATGCTTACCATAGTCTGTAATTTCAATTGCTTCATCTTCTAGTTCGTCGATGAAATCGAATACAATATCTCCAAATTTGCTTTTGTTCTTATTGTTTTCAGAACGAGTAACCCAACGCAAGTTTTCAAGTCTATTGTCGTTTCTTATATGGTTTATATGGTCTACAAAAGGTAAATTGTTAGGATTCGGTATAAAATGAGTTGCAATGACAACATGTTTAGGATAGTGTTTTCCACTCATCTTCATAATAGCATATCCTTTATTTCCCTCCCATCCGCTTAAAACTCTTTTTGTCTCTTTGTTTCTGACTTCAAATGACTCACAACAGTGAATTTCATATTTCTCATCTAACAAACAAGTTTCCCAACGGTCCTTTCCAACAAACTCAGCGTACATTTCAAATAAAATAAAAAAAATGTTTTTTTAAAAAAATGTTTTATTTTAAATGGTATGCCATTTCATATTTCTCATCTAATCTCTCATGAACTTTCTTCATCTAATTTCTCATGAACTTTCTTCATCTAATTTCTCATGAACTTCTTCATCTAATTTCTCATGAACTTTCTTCATCTAATTTCTCATGAACTTCTTCATCTAATTTCTCATGAACTTTCTTCATCTAATTTCTCATGAACTTTCTTGTCTATGTTTTCTCATGAACTTCTTCATCTATGTCTTCCCAACGGTCTTTTCCGACAGACTCAGCGTACATTTCAAATAAAAATAAAAAAATATACTGTTTTTCCTTTACTTTACATAACCACCGGCTGCCATAAGTCTTTGACGCCAACCCATACCAGCTAATGAAGGTTGACTTGGTTTAGTATTGAAACTAACCTTTGGTTTTGGTTTATCTTCAGTTTTTGGCTTCCCTTCTTCTATCTGTTTTTCGTCACTTTTCGGTTCATCTGACCTTACCTCACTTGCAGGTATGGTTGTGTCGTCAACATCTTCATAAATGTCATATGCCATCTGTTTCTGTTTTCCTTTCAACTTTTTGTGTTTGTTGTAAAGTTTAGAATATTTCGACTCTAAGTCAATGAGATGTTCTATAATGAACTGTTGGTCAGTGAAGTAAACTTTTCCATCTGTTGTCTCATAAACTCCTTCAGACTTCAATATTTTATTTGTGAGAGTCTGTTTCTTTTTTGAGATACTTGCCGTTCCATTTCTATGAAAAGTGACTTTGTAGTTAGAGTTTGTATTTCCAGACCTCACACTTTCTATTATTGAATTTTTCTCTTCATCTGTAAGTTCTTTGACAGGTTTTGACAATGGTTCTGAACTTTTTGTTTGTGGTGTCAAATCTACCGTTTCAACTTCTTCAGTCATTTCATCTCAGTAAAAAAATTTAGTTTGGTTTGTTTTCAACTGGTTGTTTAGGTTTTTTAAGTCGGTCTAAAACTTCTTGAGGTATAGGGATGACTTGACAAACACGTGGTTGTGTAACTGCTGGAAGCCGACAAAGCCATCTTGAGCCCATTTGTCTCAATGCTGTATTGTTCATTTCATCTCAGTAAAAAATTTTACATTCCCCACGTTTGAGGTGGTTGCGGTTGGTTGTTGTTTACCCACTGTTGTGCATGGTTATATCCTCTGTTAAAGAATCTTTCACCTTGGTCCATGTAGTGTCCTGCTTGGTTATAGTAGTCATTTGCTTTGTTATAGTAGTTTCCTGCTTGTCTTCCTACATTGTCCATCCATCCTTGAACTTTTCCTCTTGTTTCAGGATTTGGAATAAGATTTGCTGCATCTCGTGCTACATCCCAACCTTTCTGTACGGTTTGTATAATAGGTTGTGCTTTCTCTTTCAGTATACCTAATGTACTCAAAATCTTCCTTCCAATTCCAAATGCACCTCTGGCTATTGTTCCCACTGCGGGCAAAAATCTAGATGCGACTCCTGCTAATGCGCCAAATAAACCCATTTCTTATGGGTTAAAAATGACGAATTCAAACAAGGACCCCTATGTTTCTAAGGCAACAAAGAAAGCACTCATGGTAAAAATCTTTAGTTCAACACCAAATGCTTGGTTTATGGATATCTTGGAAAACATTCCGAGGTATAGAGAAGATGGACCTCCATACTGGTTTATATTTGTTGGTCAAAACACAAGATACTGTGAAGCCATACCATTACAGTCCAAAAATATTTTAGATGTGAAAACTGCTTTGACAATATTCGTTGACAAATACCATCCAACAAAACTGACATCTGACTGTGAACGTTCTTTCAAATCAGACGATATTAAAAACTATCTGCGTTCAAAAAATGTAAACCAATATTTCATTGTCGACCAAAACCATTCTGCTCTTGGGTGTCATTGACAGTTGTATAAAAATCTTAAGAGACTTAAACCAACCACAAGGTGGTGAGGTAGATGAAATGTCATATGACGGAAAGTATAGACACTTCTCCATGGCAAAGATGAGACAAGTTTTAAATATTTACAATAGCCGTAAACAAAAAGGTTTGGGAAACCACTCCCCCGAAGAAATGAAAAACAACCCCGACTTAGAGAAAGACTATATATTTAATAGTTTAGTCAAAAGGGATGAACAAGAAAGAATGCCAGGCTTCAAACTTAAGAAAGGTGACAAAGTAAAAATAGAAATACCTAACGCGACCCATATGAAAATACTATTGACTATGACAACAATGGGAACTCGACAGGTACTCACATTCGTGTTCGTAAAAATAGAAGAAAGTATACAAGAGAATTATTGAAGTTTTAGGCAAACATGGCAAAATGTACAGACTGCAAGCAGAAGATAAAACTACTATTGTCAACCTCGTTTCAAACTTGTTAAGGTTCAAGGTGGTATACTTTCAAAGACAGTTCCTAACAAATATAAGACAACTCCTGACGAATATGCTAAAGAAGTTGAAAATGACGACTAAGCATTTCTATACCATGCGTAAACTGTCATGTAAGGTGGCATTTAGTCTTTACTTGTCCCGGTTGTTTGCGTATACCCTGAAACGCGATGTGTATGGCTTGTATGGCTTCCTCCTACCTCAGTGTTACTCCAGTAACAATTTATAGCAAACTTAACGTCCTCTTTAACATCATATCCTTTACCTTTTGTCATTCCTGACCAATCCCAAAATCTATGACTATGCAAA